ATTTCACAAAATCACCGATTTTGAAAATAATCACATTAGTGTGTAGTAGGCATGACTCATATGTCACAGTAAAAAAATTGTTTTAAAATTCGTTTTTTTGGTAATGTTATTAAGGTTGACAATTTTGTCAAACTTTAGAGCACGGTAAAATTGAAAAAATAGAATCTCTGGATTCTGGATTTTACACACTATTGTAGACATGTTTAGACTATATAATGATCATTTAATTAAGGTTAATTTGTTTAAATAAAATAATTTTGCATACATTTATTATAAACAATTGAAATGTGTTCTTCACGCTGAAAAAAAATTAATCTTGTGTCATAATATGCGGCAAACGTTTCCGTTTAATAAAATGTACTCAAAAATTTGTCCTTCATATGTCATTCCGGAGATATTAAATTTTTTGTCCCGCTGTGCGCTTGATCAGTACGCGGCGCGCTTCGCTGCTAGCTCGTCAGGACACGGTGTGCCTGAAGTTTAAGTCGCATAAAAATTCCGCAGTTTCTTGTTCGGGACTCTTTGGTGACTTAAAAATAATATTTACCAAAATCCTAGCTGCTCCCCTTTTCGAAACATTTTGAAAAATCTTTTTTATGCATTATGCGTTTTACTATATAAAAAAGTGATTTTTGTCTAACCCTGTATAAATCTAATGATGTGCTCAGTATAAAAACAGTTTCTCTCGTTTACAATATCGGTGTAAAAATGTGTACTCTGGCAAAGGTAGACTTTGCGATAAACAAATAATTTAAAAAAATGATTTTTTTTACAAATTTAAACAAAAAACAGTTAGAATTTTGGTAAATATCTTTTTTAAATAACCAAAGAGTGCCGATCAAAAACCTTCAACCATTTTTTCGTTCAAAATTGAAAACTACTAAAAAGCCTAAATTAAACAACATTTTAAATACTCTCTAAGCGTTATTTTATTAAATTTTATTACAAATCTATTTTTCTTGTAAAATGTTAATAAAAATGCAATTTTGTAACCGGATAGACGTAGAAATATCTAAAAAAAAAAAATTGGGGATAAATATTTTTCGCGTGTTATGCTATAAGTAATCACGAATTTCCGCTTTTGCGCTTGAAACCAAAATTGTACAACCCACAATAAACAACTGTGCAAATAAACTAATGCATTGTATTTTCAGTAAAGTAATTACTTTAAAGGCTACCTTCCTGATAGCAAAATTTGATTCTAAGAATCTTCTAAGAAGATATGACCTGGAATAATGGAATATTCTTAGAAGCTTCCCTTATTGCTAAGAATGTTCTTAGGGACTTTTAAAACATTCAATAGATAGGTACCCTTTTAATGATGCAATTAGATTCTTAGAAGCTTCTTAAAACCTTCCTAAAGCATTCTAAGAACATTTTAAGAATACGTTTTTGGAATGTTCTTAGAAGGTTTCTTATGGAGCTTCTAGGAAGCTTTTGAGAATATTTCCAAATATGTCAGATACCCACGTTCTAATTTGTTGGATTCTACATTCGTAAAATTCTTCAGGAGACGACAAATACGCCTCACTGTCATAATATAAAATTGAAATGTATTTGTCGTCCCCTTAAAAAATTTTGCGACATAATATAATTTAAAAATATTAAATAAACAATTTGACCTCTAAACCATAAGTTGTTTGACATTATTTCATAAAAAGTAAAATTGGAAAATTTTGTGGGATAAGTCAGATTAGATTGAAGCTGAAGATAGATAGGATTATTATACATAAAAATGTTAATTTAGAAATAAAAAATCGGTATACAAATTAATAAATATTTATTTTTAACATAAAATAAAATATAAAAAAAAAATATTTCCTTATAAAAGAATTCTTCATAAAAGAAAAAACCAAATAGTTCTTCATAAAAAAACATTTTTCATTGTATTTAAGTTGGATAAAAGATTTTATGTAAAGGACGGATAATTTAGATACCTATAGTAAAAGTATTTTTGTTATCGAATAATGTTTTAATTTGACAAATAACTATAAAAAATATTTTGGGTTGGGTTTTTTACTTAGTATTTAATACTAAGTATAGGTACCTTTATACGTAGATTATGGTATATTTTACAATTATATAGGTACCTAACTGAACTGAATATGCTTAACAGGAATATTCCTAAATGAACTTTCTATAGCAATTACTTTTTCAACATTCTAAGCATATGTTTAGAGTGGATTAATTTTTACCTCTAAACTTTGCACCTTCTAAGAACCTGCCTATAGGCCAGTGAGAATATTCTTAGGATTATGCTATATTTCTTTTAAGCATGTTCTTTAGAAAAAATATAGCATGATTCTAAGAATATTCTCACTGGAAGGTTTAAAAAACATTCTTAGAACACGACTAGAAGAAATATAGCATGATCCTAAGAATATTCTCACTGGAAGGTTTAAAAAACATTCTTAGAACATGACTAGAAGAAATTTAGCATGATCCTAAGAATATTCCCACTGGAAGGTTTAAAAAACATTCTTAGAATAAACTGTGCTATCAGGGCTTACGCCGCGTAAGTTACGCGTAAGGTATACGGTCACGGAAGTAATATAGTGTGCCAAATATTTGGAGTAATACTACTTACCCGGTTTAGGGGGATTCCGCGTCGTACAGATTTGAGTCGGCGAAATTGTCCCCTGTCCCCCTCGTCCCCACCTCCTTTAGTTCTTACTGGGCGTATAGCAACGGCCCGGCGAAACCGTGAGAGGTTATTCAAACCATTCGCATGTCGCTACAGCCCCAAATATAGTAGAGTCAAACCACGTCAAGTGGGACCAGAAAATTTCACAAAATCACCGATTTTGAAAATAATCACATTAGTGTGTAGTAGGCATGACTCATATGTCACAGTAAAAAAATTGTTTTAAAATTCGTTTTTTTGGTAATGTTATTAAGGTTGACAATTTTGTCAAACTTTAGAGCACGGTAAAATTGAAAAAATAGAATCTCTGGATTCTGGATTTTACACACTATTGTAGACATGTTTAGACTATATAATGATCATTTAATTAAGGTTAATTTGTTTAAATAAAATAATTTTGCATACATTTATTATAAACAATTGAAATGTGTTCTTCACGCTGAAAAAAAATTAATCTTGTGTCATAATATGCGGCAAACGTTTCCGTTTAATAAAATGTACTCAAAAATTTGTCCTTCATATGTCATTCCGGAGATATTAAATTTTTTGTCCCGCTGTGCGCTTGATCAGTACGCGGCGCGCTTCGCTGCTAGCTCGTCAGGACACGGTGTGCCTGAAGTTTAAGTCGCATAAAAATTCCGCAGTTTCTTGTTCGGGACTCTTTGGTGACTTAAAAATAATATTTACCAAAATCCTAGCTGCTCCCCTTTTCGAAACATTTTGAAAAATCTTTTTTATGCATTATGCGTTTTACTATATAAAAAAGTGATTTTTGTCTAACCCTGTATAAATCTAATGATGTGCTCAGTATAAAAACAGTTTCTCTCGTTTACAATATCGGTGTAAAAATGTGTACTCTGGCAAAGGTAGACTTTGCGATAAACAAATAATTTAAAAAAATGATTTTTTTTACAAATTTAAACAAAAAACAGTTAGAATTTTGGTAAATATCTTTTTTAAATAACCAAAGAGTGCCGATCAAAAACCTTCAACCATTTTTTCGTTCAAAATTGAAAACTACTAAAAAGCCTAAATTAAACAACATTTTAAATACTCTCTAAGCGTTATTTTATTAAATTTTATTACAAATCTATTTTTCTTGTAAAATGTTAATAAAAATGCAATTTTGTAACCGGATAGACGTAGAAATATCTAAAAAAAAAAAATTGGGGATAAATATTTTTCGCGTGTTATGCTATAAGTAATCACGAATTTCCGCTTTTGCATTATTAAAAATAAGTGATTTTTGGCTAACCCTGTATATATCAAATGATGTGAACAATATTAAAAAGTATTCTCTAAGTCTCCTAAATAATTTACTCTAATTTTATAAAAATCGGTGTGCAAATGTGTACTCTGTCAAAGAAATAAACAAAAATTTAAAAAAAAATCATGAATTTTCGAACAATTTTGAAAAGAGTAGCAGCTAGAACTTTGGTAAATATAATTTTTAAGTCACCAAAGGGTCCCGAACAAGAAACTATAATCAGTTTTTGGCGGCATTTTTATGTGACTTAAACTTCGTTCAGGCACACCGTTAAAACGTTAGAACGGACGAGCTAGAAACGAAGCGCGCCGCGTACTGATCAAGCGCACAGCGGGACAAAAAAAATTAATATCTCCGGAATGACATAGGAAAGACAAATTTTTGAGTACATCTTATTAAACGGAAACGTTTGCCGCATATTATGACACAAGATTAATTTTTTTTCAGCGTGAAGAACACATACAAAATTTCAATTGTTTATAACAAATGTATGCAAAATTATTTTATTTAAACAAATTAACCTTAATTAAATGATCATTATATAGTCTAAACATTTCTACAATAGTGTGTAAAATTTAATTCAATTATACATAGTGGTTCCAGAGCAGAGATACCAGATTCTGTCAAAAAAAGACCGTACGTTTCGTTCGAATTACAAAAATGACTCAATGGACAATATTAAATAACGTCAACTTGACATAATTGCATTTATTTGCATTGTTTCATTGTGTCATTTTGTAATTAAGGTAAATTCGAACGAAACGTACGGTCCTTTTTTGACAGAATCTGGTAACACTGTTCCAGAGTATCTATTTTTTCAATTTTACCGTGCTCTAAAGTTTGACAAAATTGTCAACCTTAATAACATTACCAAAAAAACGAATTTTAAAACAATTTTTTTACTGTGACATATGAGTCATGCCTACTACACAATAATGTGATTATTTTCAAAATCGGTGATTTCGTGAAATTTTCTGGTCCCACTTGACGTGGTTTGACTCAGTACAGTACCGAACGCGGTGGACATTCTCTTATATTTGTTTGTTCTTTGTTCAATTTTAAGAAAGTAGGTACTAAATAAAACAATACTATTATATTTCAAGAAAGTATATTAATTTAATAAACAACATACAAACATTCATATATCTTAAAACTCAACAATAAATCGTATAAAAATATGGCAAAAATAAAATTAACTGACTAATGGTTAACCTTAAAATTATATTTACAAATACTCATACACAGATTCTTAAAGTTGAACATCGCCAATGAACTGGCTTTGCCTTTTTTTGGGCGCCCTTCTTAAACTGCCCAAAATATTTAAAAGTTCTGACACAGCTTTCGTGCTTTCTTTTTCTTTTTTGCCTTCACTTTTGGCCTTTTTCAACGTAAACTTTCCCTCTTTGATCGCGTTTATTATGTCGTCGTTAACGCCAGGGGCGGCTTGTGTTTTTTTAGTGTCGTTATTCTGATCTTGTACGCCAATGGTTTCGGCAATGTCAAGCACGTTGACACGTGATCGTCTCTTGACTCTCAGGGGAACCACCGGAGGCTGACTTGGCAACGCTGGTGGAGGCGGTGGTGGCGGCGGTGCCGGTGGTGTTTTCAAGATCATGATCGTTTCCTCGGCTTTTTCGGCACGTTTTACCGCTTCTTCCAGTTCCGATTCCACAATGTTTAGTCTTTCTTCTAGGATTTCTACTTGTGAGTGGTCTTTTTCTTCAAGTTTTTCCTAATAAATTATAACAAGTTGTTAAAAATTTATTTTTTACAATGTTTGGGTACTTACTTGGAGGGAGTTTAGTTCTTCTTCATGTTTGTTTCTTTCGTCTTCTAAAGAACGTTTTAAATCTTCAATTTCTTGTAACAAGACCATTTCGTTGTTGGTACCTTCGTTTAATCCTTGCAAAATTAACGTACTTTGGTGGGCTAGGACGTTTCTTTCCTTTTTGTAATTATCTGCTTCTCTCCTAAAAAAAAAAAATGAATAAATTTATTTAACTACGGTAAGCAACATTATTATTATAGAATTATAGAATATTGTAATAGATTTTTTTTTTATTAAGTTGTATTAGCGTTGATTAATAAACTAAGCATGAAAGTATTAAAAACTTACTTCAATGAAACAACATTATTTCTTTGATCTTCTTCATTTTGTTTCATTTCTTGCAATTCCTTCTTCACCATCTCAGAAACTCTCAATATTTGGTCATATTCCTTCTTTAACTCCTCAAAGTCTTGATTTAATTTTCTATATTTTTGTCTTTCACATTCTAAATCCTAAATATACAACAAAAAAATTATTAAATACTTTTACAAAAATAAACAAAATCTTACTTTGTATAGGGCACAAACGACGCTAACAGAATTTCTAATATTTTGATTTTGTAAACACTTCATAATGACTTTTCCTGTTTATTTTTTAATATATTTGTCAAAATTTCTAATTTTACAACATACCTCTGACAATTTGGAGTTTTGTTCAATAGTTTGAAATTCGCTTTCTTTTAGAGAGTCCACTTCCGTTTGGAGTTCAGCAACTTCACTGCTCAACTGTTTAATTGTTCTATTAAGATTTTCGATATCTGAATCTGAAGCGGCTTCCCCTGAATCGACTCCTTCGTCAACTGTATCTTCGTCAAGAATAATAGTTCTTCTCTTGAGTTCCTTGTTTTCTTTGTACCATTGGGAGGATACCTTGAGAGCTCTACACAAAAAATGCAAATAAGTTTAATGTTAGTGAAAATTATATGGTTTTAAATTATGTAAAATATTTTAGATTCAAGAACCACTTATTATTATTCACGAAGATGAAGTTTGCGCCTCGAGTCGCCAGACTGAAGACGGAAATCATCCTAGTCAATAATTCTCATAATCTCGAGTGTAATACTATACTACTTCAATTAGTTGATAATGTAATAATTTTCAAAAATAAATAAATAAATTCTGACATCTGTTAAATGGTTAACCTCAATTTCTACCATTTTTATATATTAAAATGCAGTGCCGGCATGTGCAAACGGTGCGGTTGCACCCGGCCCCGCGTTTTATAGGCCCCGCGCGCATCAAGGCGTCTTAACGAAATTATTGTACATTTTAGCAACATGGCAAGCTGTAAGCACAGTGTGACAAAATTATATCTGGTCATTGCCAAAGATAATATCTTTAGTATTCTATTATCATTCAGTCCAATGTTGCTAAATGTGTATTTGAAGTTGCCTGTATCCGTTTAAAACAATTATTATTACGCCGGGAAAAGAGTTTTTCAAAATTTAAATTAATAAAAAAATATTTAAGATTAAGAAGGTAGGTATGTGCCAAGAACGACTAGTGGGTTTGGCTTTATTGTCAATAGAGAAGGATGTTGGAAAAGAGCTTCCCCTAAAGCAGGGAAAAAATATTTGTGATTTTTTCTTAAAAGTTAATTTCTATATTAATTGAAGGGAAAAGCTGAACCACCCAAGTGCATTTTTAAGTAAAAATTTTCTACTATCCGGTAACACGCTTAAAAAATTTTGACTTAAAACTGCACTTGGGCGGTTTCAACTCTAACCCATTCAATTGGTTTTTCGTTTGATGTTTTAGTGGTTTATTGCCGCTAAGCGCTGTGTTAATTTTCAAGAGTAAATTTTTAGTTCAAGCCCCGCATTTTTCTTTTGCACCTGGCCTCTAATAAGCTAACGCCGGCCCTGTTAAAATGCCTACTTCCAATTTAAAACCAATTGGTTCAAATCACAGTGCATATTGAAATTGGCCTATCACTGATACCTAACAACGTGAATAATGAGATCATTATTCACGTTGTTAGGGGATATTACCCCCCTCGCTAAGTCCCTGTTTATACTACAATTGTGTACCTGGCCATAGCTCCAGTTTCAGTTTCATAAAGATTCTTAAGGGTTTCATATTCTTTATAAAGATTCTTTGAAGCAATGGTGAGTTTGGTGTGCTCTTCATTTTTTTCAAACAGCTCCGTTTCCAGGCACTCATGTTTTACTTGAAGATCGGTGTATTTTTTATTGATATCGTTATAACTTCTTAAAACTGAAACAAATGTGTTATTTATTCTTGGGTTGTTGATACTTGAAAAAGGACAACTTTGGTGATGTTGGGAAATATTTCTATTATTTGTAAAGGTTGTTGAATATAATATACATAATAAAAACCTTGAACTGAACAATAAAAATAGCGAGATAAAATAAGGCGTGATATAAGAAAAAGTGTTTAATTTAAACGTGCTAAGTACTTATGAGAAATTTCTTGTTTATAAACATGCATTGAATAATTTAATAATAATCATATTGTTAAAATGTTAGTAGGTACTTATATTGGCAAAATGATGTCATATCGATGACTTTCTGCCAAAGTATCGCAAGCAAAATAAAAAGTTCGAGAATTTTAACATTTTTTATTTTGAAGTATGTTTTAAACTATAGGTATATTGGTTTTATAACAAGTAAATAGCTTATAATAATAATAATAATTATTATTATTATTAAATAGTTTAAAACAGACTGTTAATTGTTAAAATTTTCGAAATTTAAGTTATGTTGCTTGCGATAGGTATCTTGGCAGAAAGTCATCGATATATGAAATGTGTTTTGGACGTTTTGGTGGTATGTTTAAACATTCCACGTTAGGGAACGTACCCATACTACGTGACCAATTTTTATCCTCCCTCCCCCCTGGATGAACGGTAGTATATGCCAAGACCCCCCCCTCTAGTTTTCACGTAGTAATTCATAAATATGGTTTTAAATCATTTTTGCAGAAAGTTAAACAAAATTACCACTTGGAGTTTAAAAAGCTCTAAACGCTACGCGCCATATTTGAATATTCAATATTTAGCTTTATATATAGCTTGAAAAAGCGCGAGTTTTCCCTAGAGGATATTGACTACGTGACGAAAACCATGACCAAGTATAAAAAGTTCATTTAAGAAATAACGGACACCCTACTATACAAGGTGTCCCTAAACTTAGTGGAATAAATTTAGAAACAGATTAAGCAAGTCAAAATAAGACGAAAATCCAAATAAATATTTTTCCTAATTACGTATGTATAAAAGATACAGGGTGATAAAGTGTTACTTATCATATCAGTTTTTTTTAATATAACTTCTACTATTGTAGACTTGGAAAGGTGATATTTTGCGAACAGTCACTTACTACCAAAACACATATTCACACATAATTACAATTGTTCGAGTGAACACAGTGTCGTAGAAACAGGGGTTGCTTAAGCTTATTGTCCCATACAAACCTTGAGGTTAGGTTTTTATACTATTTGATGCAATTTTTCGATTACTCAGTTCGGCTACTATTAAAAAGGTGTACCTCTTAAACTTCGATAAAGTAAACCGTTTTCGATATATTCTAGATTACAATGATTTTATATCGCATTAAAGTAGGTTTATGAAATTTTTTAATTGAAAAAACTACATTTTTTTTAATGTGACGGTCAGGGCAAAAAGTCCCGAGGCTCATGGAATGCCCTTTTTAGTTTTTTCAATTAAAAAATAAAATTTGTTATCATATACCTTTTAATCCTTTTAAATAATGCGATATAAAAATTATAATTTTACAATAATTATTGTAATCTCGAATATCTCGGAAATGGTTTATTTTATCAAAGTTTGGGAGGTACACCTTTTTAATGGTAGCCGAACTGTCTAATTTAAAAATTGCATCAAATGTTATAAAAACCTAACCACAAAGTTTGTATGGGACAATAAGCTTAAAGCAACCCCTGTTTCTACGACGCTGTGTTCACTCAAACAATTATAATTATGTGTGAATATGTGTTTTGGTAGTAAGTTACTGTTCGCAAAATATCACCTTTCCAAGACCACGTAGTAGAGGTTATATTAAAAAAACTGATATGATAAGTAACACTTTATCACCCTGTATCTTGGAAACATAAGTAATTAGGAAGAATATTTATTTGGATTTTCGGCTTATTTTGACTTCTTTAATATTTTCCTAAATTTATGCCAATAAGTTTAGGGACACCTTGTATATTAAGCTTAAAATATTTTTATATAATTTTTTTTTTAATGTGATTCGACGCATTAACATCATAATAATATTTTTTATGTAAAATATAAAAAAATTACGAAAGACAAATATCTAATTATTTAAATTATTAGTGTTAACATTAACATTAAGAACCCTGTAGAATACTTGAATCAACAACAATTCTTTTTCCTATTAACATAAAAGTAATATAAACAGTATTTGTATGCATTTCTCTTGACACTTAATTTATGTTTAAAAAACCCTTTAACGTTTAAAACAAATGTAAGGGAAAGTTTACTTAGCAAGTTAGTATTAATCGTTTCTTGTCGTAAGTATACTTTCTGCTCGGACGTTTTTTATTTTTTGTTCGAGCTTCGAGTTCAAGTGCTCGCCAAATATGTATTCCATTCCACACACACAATCACTTGTAACTTTTTAATTCAATTAACAGATAAGACAGTTTTGTTTTGGTTATAAATTAATTAATTATATAATTAGTAATATTGTTATTATTATAAATCCAAACCACACTAAAGTAGAAACAAAATATGGATGGAAATCTTAATAAATTATTTTTACCGTTTCAAATATTTTCTTTACAAAATTCTCTTTATAGACCATACGTAGCTGTCTTCTTAAAATATTATTTATCATAAATGTAAAATAAATTACTCCTACTTACTTTTTTCTTTTTCTGACAAAATATTCTTTCGTTTGATTTCGCAGTCTTCATATCGGTTTTTCCATTTATGTGCCTCTGGATTATTTACGGGGATTTTTGATGGAGTTGAATTTTGCCTGATAACATACCTCTTGGGAATGTTAGAAAACCCATTGGTCTTGCTATTCGGTGTCAATTTATTCGCAGTTATCGTGCTCATTTTAAACAATAGTTATCTATAATTTAAAAAGAAAAACAATTTAAATGTAAATGTAATAAAACCTTAAGAATACATTTTAATGACAAACTTTTATATTTAATTATAAGCATAATACATACAGTAAGAATTGGTTCTAAATAATATATTTTGAAATTTACAGCTTAAATAAAATTAATTTCATTATTTCATGAATGTTTTTAAAAAAGCAAGGTACAGTTCACATTTTTTAATATTATTTATTTATTTATATTTGTGAGCCATTATTAAAAAAACGGTTTTCTGTATGTTCCAATTGCGTATGTAATGAATATCTCTTATAATAGCCTTATTGTTGGTTATTTAATTGATATTTTGTATTTTTAATACATATAAATTATTAGAAACTTAATTATTTAATAGACCCACTAATCTTATCATTATCTCTAAGAAAGCGAATAAATAGGTTCAACATAGTTGAGTTAAGAATTAAAAATAAGAATGAGAAAAATATGTTAAATGGCTTAAATTTACAGGGTATAGGATATTTATTTGTACAATTAAATAAGAATTAAATAGACGCATAGAATGCCTAAACACTTAATGGTAATGGGCTATGCCTAGTCCGCGCGGACATACTACGCAGCAGAATCATACTGTACCTCGAGTGTTAAAAATAAACAATTTTAATATGAAATGACAGATAAAAACAATATTAAATAGAGATAAACTAAAAGAAAATAACTTTTACGAAAGAAAAAAAATATTTTTTTATAAATCCTTAAACAAATTTTAGAATTTTAAATATTCTAAAACGTCAAAAGAAAAGATTACAATAACCATAATTTTATAGAAAAATTTGCAATAATATATTTGAATTGCCTTTTTTACCGACTACCGACTACCTAAAGGAAAGTCATTCAAAAAAGATTTATAAATCTATAGTAATATACCTATTAGGGTGGGCCAAAAAAAACTTTTAATTTTTTTTCTTTAGTTACCATGAAAATATCGTCCAAGATGGCGATTTTTTATTTTCCATTTAAATAACACGGGAAAACACATTTTTTTGTTTGTAATTTTATTGCGTTTTAACAAATCAGTAAGTTGTAGAAATCAATACATATTCTTGGAGGGAATTGAACGATCTACAAAAAAGATCTGATATGATTTTTTGCTTAGTCGACTCGTTTAAAAGTTATTTGAGGTTAAAGTTCAATAAAAGCCATGTTTCAATAATTTATCAATTAAAATAAAAAATGTTACTCCATAACTTGTACTTTTTTTACTTACTTACTTTTTCTTAGAATCAAATATTTGTTGTACTCTTCTATTAATGCAACTCCTCTTTCTGCTACATCATTAAGAACGCTAAGACGTTTAAAAAATACTAGATTATCTTGATAGCTTTCATCCTGTGTCCAAAATTCTACATTCTTATTGATAAAGTCTGTGGATAAATCAAATATATTAAATATATATATACTTATTGCGAGTAGTTAAAAACCACCGGCAAAAATATCCCAATTGTAACAAGAAAAATTTAGTTTGATTCTAAGATACCTAGTGAAAAAGTACAAGTTATGGAATAACATTTTTTATTTTAATTGAAAAATTATTGAAACATGGCTTTTATTACTATACATTACCTAATAGTCAAGTGTTAATAGAATATTTATTATTTTTTAAGAAAATGATTAAATCTTTTGTCATTACTCAGGTAAAAAAAATTAAATATACATAGGAAAAAACTGCTTTTTCACGATTATTGATATTTTGTAAAAATTGTATTGCTTTACCGAAGAACACTCGATAAACTTCACGAAAAATATGATATTTCATGTTTTTGAGACAATATTTCGTGGAGTATGAAAAACTATAAAAGTCATTTACTATTTTTAGTTGAACTTTAACCTCAAATAACTTTTAAGAGTCGATTATGCAAAAAATCATATTAGAACTTTTTTGTAGATCGTTCAATTCCATACAACTCACTGATTCGTTAAAACGCAATAAAATTTTAAACAAAAAATGTATTTTTCCCGTGTTATATTATAATATATTATATTCTATTCGTTATTTTTAATATAAATTATAAATTTCTGTAATTTTTTTTTACTTTGGTCAAGGTTTATTACTTATTACTATTTCTTACTTTAAAGACTTGAGGTCAGTACAAAAGTTTATTTTTTTTGTATATCTTCGAACAATCAGAAAACATATTACCTAATTGGGGATATGTTAAAAAATTAAAAAAAAAATATAGCAAATTTTATGATGAAATTAAGATAAAGTGACCAGATTCTGTCAAAAAAAATCGGGACATTTTGTGTAAATTAACCTTAATCACAAAAATGACACAATCAACAATAATTAAGTAACGTCAAATTTACAATTTGCATTGTATCATTGTGTCAATTTTGTAGTTAAGGTAAATTCATACAAAATGTCCCGATTTTTTTTGACAGAACCTGGTCACTTTAAATTAAGACCAGTACAGACCATTTGCAAATTAATTATTAATTTCTGTTAGTTTTGACACCTGTCATCTTGACATCTATCATTTTTTACATCTTCTTGACAGGTTACATAATATGTTATATCTAAAATGGACTGTGACACATGTCATAAATGAGCTGACAGATGTCAAAAATGACAGAAGTAATAATGACAGTCAAATAATAACAAATAATAAATCACTCTATTCTCATGGCTTGCTCAAGCGTCGTATTTCTATCTCTTCCTTACTCAAGCACATCCACTCATTCCTTACGCCAGGAGAATACAAACGTTGACTCTTATTAATGTCCATTTTCTGAAGTTCACTCATCATTTGACACAAAAGTTTCACTACAAAAATCTGTTTTTGATTTTTTTACATGAAATACATTTTTTATGAACACCAGTTTCGTTACCATTTCGTTACTCGTTTTGATACTATATTATAGATAGAAACGTTTCTAAACCATTTGTTATAACATATATATATATATATATATATATATATATATATATATATACCTATTAATAGGTAGGTATACCTATTAAGTTCCGTTTTTAATGTTAGTTGTAACTATACCGGGAGGATCGTAGTTTTGATATTGTTTTGGTGGCAAACCCTTTCAGAAATTATAATAAAATATACATGGTAGTAACTTAACAATGTTATTTAAAAATTTAGGGTTAAGGGCTGAACTTTTAGGGGTGGCTTTAGTCCGTACCTATTATTTTAAAACACCTTCAGTGTAGTTTTGGTTCCACTGAAATAACTCCAACTGTTAAGGAACTATTTTGGACACACTGTATAAATAAATCCCTCTCATTATTATTTTTCCCTTGCAAAATATAACTGTTTTATTTCTGAGACATTCGCAAAGCATTTTCATCCTTTAAATAGATATTATTTAGGGTGGAATTAGGTTAAAAGATGTAATATGTACTTATATACTTGGTTATTTTAATAGAAATAATTAAGCCAATTAATGAATCGCACTCAAAATAAAACCTTATTAAAGTATAAAATCAAATTAAGTTGAATGTCAACGTCCAGACGTTTTGTTTTAAGTCTGGACCCAGCTTATAAGTCTTGACCCAGCTTACATTTTGTATAAAAATAATATGTATTATTATATAATTAAAATCAAAATGATAACACAGACTGTGTTACACATGGTCTTTAATCCAAAAAAAATTTACCGATTTTTAAAATTTGTTTTATATCGATTTATTAGTTTTTTTTAATTTTTTACAAAATAATTTTTTATACAAGTAGCTAATCCATTTTTATTGTTTCTCGAAATGGTTGGACGCTTGTTCCAGAACTGGAATTTAATTATTATTTTTAATAAATTTAATTTTTTATATTTTTATAATTTCAGGAGAAAATTACGAATGTTGGAACGTTAAAAATTGGTTGGGTGAATTTAAATTTTTAGCAAAAGATTTTTTATTTTTACTTCGAGATACATAATGTATTAGTTCTATTTATATTGTTATGTTATAATGTTAACTAATAATAAATTTATGCGGCAATATATCATAACTTAATTAATTATAAATGCATCTTAACCACAGGTCTGTGATCTAAACCAACCACAATTAAGTCACTTGACCAGAAGAGATAACAAAAAATTATAATTAGAGCATACAAAATTACATCTCTTTGAATCAGGGCCGGCCCGACTATATAGGCAAACTATAGTTGCTTGCATTTTTGGGCAAAGGTTTGTTAATATCAATTTAACAATAAGGAGCTAAAACAATTAATTTAAAGTAAATCGTTTCCTGAATTGGTAAAATCAAGTCACGGCAAGAAACGGCTAACGCCTTTCTGGACGATAGAGAATTATGCCTTCGGACTTACGCACTGCAGTCCTAAGCAAATCTATTACCTGTGTCTTTCTTGTCTCTTGCAAGGTGTGCGGTGCAAAATCATTTTTTTCGAAATGTATATATATGTTTTAAATAAAATTGCAGTAGTGCCGACCAAGTATAAAGAGGAGCGACATTAAGTTATTATATGTGGAAACGTTATAAAAATAGAATTATAAAAATACTAAAAAATTATTTTAGTAAAATTTTGATTAAAATTTTCGAAAAGCAATTTAACAAGTAACCTGTTTTACGTGGGCTTGTCTAAAATGGATTTTAAACAACTTAATATGGTATTCGAAAAAAGATTTCTACTTTTTAAAATAAATTTTGCATTTTAATTATGCTAAACAATTTTTTTGGAAAACCTAACATTTCTTTTAGGTTTTTAACTTCAAGTAAAACTAAATTCGGACTTCGATAGCTATAGTTTTTTTTTAATTTTGAACAATTTAAAAATGTTTATCTTCTAACATAATATATTATCAATATTATTAGCCTCAACGCAGCCCTTACAAGTTATTCATTATTATTATATATAAATCTATATAAAAAGACTGCCGGCGGCAAAACAGCTATGGCTATATATAACAGGGGCGGCCCTGATTACAGTATTGTTTTTTATTTTTTTTTCAAGTTTCAGTTCATTTGCCTAGGGTACCGGGTTTG